AACTGATTCGTCTTGGTGTCTTGTTGATTCTGTGCCACCTAGATACGAAATATGTGTCAAGCACCAAAGGATCCACCTCTGGTAGTCGTACAGCAGACTCGGTCAGGAATGCCCTCAGTAAGTCGCCGACCTCTGCTTCACGTCCTAAAACCACTGCTCCGTGCACCGCGACAAGATGCGATTGAAAACCCTGAGTTCCACTTTCGCTTTCTTGTAGAGGTGGACCGAAATCACTCGCATCTGACCTTTCCATAAGCGACATGACCTCGTGTTCTGCTTCGAAGTGGACTGTACTATCCGTTCTCTTAGTAGGTTGGATATCAGAAGACAAAGCATAAGTCTCGGCATGGATCCTGGCTCTCACACCTACAAAATCCAAGCAAAGGAAAATCAGGACTATTGCTTTCATTTGCCTTCTGTTGATTCTATGACAACTATGCGATCGAGGTGGAGTTGGCTTTTTTCTGTCTACTCTAAACCGACACCAAGTTTCCCAACATGCATAAATTCCAGACCCGAATAAGGCGATTAGTTCAAGACAGCAAAAGAGCATTGCTTGTGCGATAACCTCATCCGCGAAGTCATCGACATGACACTGCTCCCACCTTGAATCATTAACCCTTGGATGCGTCTCGAACGAACTGATTACTGGCCTTTCAAGTCTGGCAAGACAATGGGGAAAATCAGAGGCACGAAGTAGCACAGAAAGCCTGGGAATGCCTCTTAGGCGTTCCCGTCTTTGCACTACTCCATTATCGATTTCTCTGGATGTTTGTAGAAAAGGGTGGCAAAATGAGCCTTCACTCCAGCAGTTATAGCTATCCGTCCAAAGGCGTGCCTTCAAAAATGGCGCCAACGGACCATTCTGACAACAATCAGCTACATGAGAGCATCCCCATTCTTCATGGCTGAATATCACTTGGTCTCTGCTGGATCTACATCTGCCTTTTCCCCTTTTTCCTTTTTCTCCACAGCTTGCTTCAAGTGAGTCTGCCTGACTCCTTGGGAGGCGATGCAGCACCTGCAGCTTTGCCCGACCGAGGAATGGCTCTTCGAAATGCCCTCAGAGCAACTGCTGGTTCTGCAGTTTTGTCTGCGACCAGCTCTTCCTCCATGTCTTCTTGCATTTCGTCGTCGTCTATGAGCTCCGATTCCTCGATTTTGCCAAGCATCCTCTGCATCTCCTCGAGAGTGGGGATTGCATCCCCCTCGTCTTCCACACTGATATTTGTCCTTAGTGCAGAAGCTACGTGCTTCACCTGCGTCTCTGTTGCCTCGACAAGTGCAGCTTTGGCCTTCCCTCTGTCCCGTTGATAAACTGCACATCGCTCTTGCATGCTGTTCTTCGCTTTTAATGCAAAGGCCTGCCAATCTTTGTCGGCTTTTTGCACTTCCTGTTTGCAGAGCTCCACCTGCTTTTGGGCCTTCCCAAGTTTGGAAAGATGCCCATGTGTCAGGCGAGGACTCGATTCTCCTCTCTGCTCCAGGGTTTGAATCTCCTTTGCCAAGCTCGAAGTTGCTGCAGTCCCATAGTAGCTTCTGATAGCTGCCAGGTGTTGCTGAATATCCACTGTAGCGGCATTGCCTTCTACCCCACCTGGAGGAGCAGGCGGTGGTGGTAGTCTCGGCGAGGGTGGTAATGCTGGTGTGGTCTGTGATCTCCCCTTGCTCTTGGTTTCCTTCCTGGGTGGAGGCGTAAAAGGATCTTGCTCTTTCCGCTTTTGAGACTTCGATCGATCTCGCTTCCAATCTACTGCCGTATAATGCTCTCCGCAGGAGACAATAGAGAGCTTTGGGGGCATTCTTCTGACCACACTGACAAATCCACCTGAGAGGCATTGTGGATATCTGGCCCGGCAATGAACTGCCGTGGTGCAAGACAACACGAGTTGTTGCACCTCGAAGGCGATGCTTTGATACCTTGCGGCCTTGTTTCCAGGCTTTCAAGGTCTTGCGTGCAGCTTTTCTCCTCCTTCTTTGATTTCTGTGCCAAACTGGTTCTTGGCGTTTCGTGTCCGGCAAATTGCAAACAAAGAAGTGCGAGGATCAGGACAATAAAGAAGGTCACGTAGGATCGAACCACGCAGACCATGCAAAATGCAGTCGGCGCGGCCCTAAGGCTACCGGCTAGTGCTGTCCGAAGTGTGAGGGGGAACTTCCCACCCCGGACCAGAGCCAAACCTTATGATAAACAATACGAAAACAAAATGATAATAAAACAATAAACAATGATAAGCAAAACCATAAAAAAATGATAAGCAAACGATAACAAAATGATAAGCAAACGATAAACCAAATGCAAGAGCGGATAAGAAATGATTAAAAAAAATGATAACGCCAAACGATAAATAGACTATAAAAACATGATTAAAAAAAAAACTATTTTGACTACTCCAGTCTTGTGGCTGTGAAGATCTCATAACTTTAGAGGGTCTCGTGGTTCATGGGCAATCCACGGACGTGTGACGCACGTGTCGTACGGGGTGATGCACATGACGATGATGAGGAAGATCATGGTAAGTGAGGCAGATGAGGATGTTGATGATCTGTTAGTAACGGTGATGGTGAACCTTCAAGGCCTTGGCAACCTTTCAACAGGAAAACTACATGTCACTCCCACGTCCTACCTATCACTGACTGACATCCCGACCATCCTCAGGCGGGATTCCACCCCCCCGAGCCGGGTCGGGTGTTGCACGTGGAAAGCAACCCATGGGACTGCCATGTCGGACCTGCCTGAGAAACGGCGAGGGGTGGTGCCAGGGGGGTCGGCCTCTGGGGCGGCAGTCCGTCCCGGCAGTCCCATGAGTGTTTGGTGGATTTCATGAACATTGGACGTTCAACTTTGAATGTCAAAACTGTTCGCTTTTGCTGCCGGGCTGCTGGTCGCATCTGGTCGCCACACACCGCTTGCACTGGGATGGCTGAAACTACTTGGAGTCCCATTCCAGCCGCTGGCCGCGAGCGCGGGCGCCGCACGGGTCACCCTGCGGCGCCTTCGCCTCGGCGGACTCGGCCAGACCGGGTGTGGTCGGACGGACTGCCCGGACGAGGCCGACCCCCCCCGGCACCACCGGCCGTGGTGGTTTCACGGCAGGTCCGACATGGCCGTCCCAGACAGGTCCAAACGGGTCGGACCGAGCTCTCCTTCGACCCCACACCCTCGACACGTCGTGCACGGAGACAGTCCTGGGACATCCTGGAACGACTATCAGACACGACTATCAAACACATCTGTTCCTTGGGGTCTATCCATTTTATTCGGGGCCCAGTGGATGATGATGGGGCCTGGTTGCAGGCCGAACGTGAAGAAAATGATGATGTTCTTTGTTGACTGACTGTTACAGGTAAGAACGGACAGGCCCTATCTATTCCCCGGTTGGGGGATTTGCATGGATTGAACCAGTTCGGGGAAAATCACAAAATCACCCGATGCAAAACCAGGTTTGAGTCACATCCATGGCACATCGATGTGGACACCCGGTCACCCTCGAATGTTCGGCACCCATGTTGGGAGTGGAACTCCTGGTTGGGGGTGTCCTGGCTAGTCCTTCGAATGAATGGATCTTATGTAGCACTGCTCCAGGATGCAGGGCAACACGTAGAGTTGGATGCGGGGGGTGTTGCCACATGCATCCACATGCCAACAACCATTCGGCACGTCCGTCCACCTTTGGCGGAACTGGTTCATGAATCGGACGGGAAGATCGGAATCGTTTCGAGCTCTTTGAGCCCAGGATGGTCCAATAAACAATAAACCATAATCGTCCACAAACACCCGGATGCATTCAGTTCAGCCATTCAAAAGAATGGGGCACGACCTGGTGGTGCCGTATGGAAAATCCATCACGCAGCTCGGTTCCGGCTGATGCTTTGTGGTATTCAGACCAAAAACGTACCATGCTTGGCCACGAGTTATAGGGTGATCAATTTGATGATCTGAACCCTGGCCACAGTCCAAACACCTCCCCCCCACCTGCCACGCACGCATGCCTGCCGCGCACTCCCTGCGCTCTCCCCGCGTCTTTTTCACCCCGTCGGATGCGGATGCGCACCTACCGCCGCGGTGCACAGGATCCCACCCACACTTGGTCCAAGACACCTGTGGCCATCGTGTTCTCTGGATCAACTGACTCGGCATCCAACTGACTCGGTACCAGGGCCCCCGGTTTGGGGTGGTGAATGGATACCCCTTAACCTCTATACGGAGCTATAATTAGACACCCCTGGCCCCGGGGGCCCTGGTATAGGTCTGACGACTTAGCATGTCTAGCCTGTATAGCCCAGTTCAGCCCGAAGGAGTTGGAACTTGGCCAAAAGATCAGGGTCCACCAGTGGCAGGTAGTTTCGAGCTTCCATCATGTCCTCGTCGTCGTTGGTGTGGTTGCCATACGCCGCCTGTTCCATGGAGTTGTGGGGGAGATGCCAGGAGAGCCCATTCTCACCCGCCTGTAGATCTTCGGCCACGGCGGAATCCAAGATTGCCTGTCTCTGCCTCTCGGTGATGTCCTCTCCAAAGAGGAAGCGGACCATCTCCTGCACAGGCTGCACATCCAGGCTCATTTGGGGGTCAGTCTGCAGAAACGAAAAACCAATTAAAACCAACCAACCCAAACGCTCCGATCACAGCCCTTGCTCTCAAAACCTATAATATTTAATAGATTTGAGATGATTTGAGACCCCCAACGAGCCCCTCTATATGAGCCACTCCTAGTGGAAGAGGCCGTCCGCCTACTTTCGGGGTCTGATGACCAGGTCTGAAGGCCACACGAGAACGGCCGCAGCCATTTCCATGAGTTTCTTGAATGATCTTGGATGACTTGGGAGCCCCAGAACAGGCTTTAAGGACACATCTAGGTTGAGAAGGGCGGACGAAGCATGAAGCGTGAAGGGAGTCCCAGATGTTTGGGCATCCCCAAACCCCACTGAAGGCCAGGGTTTTGGAAGAAGTCGACGGTGGTGGTGCGTTTTGGAAGAAGTGGGGGTCCAATCTGTTGAGTTTAAACATGCTTCGTGTGGAGCTCCTGAATGGTGCGATTGAAGTTCTTTGAGCTATTCGTGATGATCTCAAAGCGAATGATGTACATGTCTGGTGGGGCCACTTTGTAGGCGTCGACCATGTAGTGGACAGTTTTGATCATGCGCCTTGCCATCTCTGGAACACCCTTCTCGGGACCCATCTGTGCGATATTCATGCCCAAGCCGGTGTTCGGCTCGTTGCCCCGATGGTGATAGACATACGCCGAGACCACCATCTCAAGCGGATCGCGAACGGTCAAAACCCCACGAAAGCCGCCGGCGTGCTGCGTCAGCGCGCGTAACTCTTGGATGACCTCACCGGAGACATGATTGTCGTAACGAAGCCTCGCAGGGTGGAGCTGACAATCACTCCTCATGGGTGAGAAGGAGGTGAGCTGGCCCCCAGTGGTGTTGTAATTGCAGGAGTCCATGCCTCCCAGGACATCAAAGGTCCTCATCATGATGTGCCGCAGCAGTTCGGTGCCTGATTTGTGGTGGCAGCCCACCAAGTAGGCACGCTGCTGCCAACTACTAGGCGCTCCGCGACGGACTTGCCGCCGGTGTCGTTTGCGCGGGTGCACGCGCGTTTGGAAGAGTCCAGGGCCGTTCTCCTCACAGGTGGCTATGGGCCATTCAGGTGCCGCACTCCAAGCGCCCACCACACTCAGACTCCATAAGTGCAGGACATGAAGAGGCTGCATGTGGAGTTGGGTTGCTCCACCATTTAAGCAGCTTGAGCCCAAAAGAAGGACACAGTGGGAGGAAGTCTTCCAGCTGCTTCGAAGCGGTCAGTGAGAGGACAACCCTAAACTAAATACTAAATTAGGTCTCCAGTTGGATACTCATTGGAAGCGCAGCCACTAGCTTCAGCAAGCGCTGGCTGCGCTGAATTCATCTCAAGCTCCCAAAAAAACCTTTTGAGGATGCTGAAAAGGATAACTACACACTACGCTCTTTGTCAGAATGATGGAAGTGGAAAATTGCCCTTTGGATGACAAGTTGCCTCTACTAACAGTTCGTTGTCCACTTCCGTTGTTATTTCAAGTTATAGGAGCGCCTGTATGAGATATATATATATATATCATCTGTTTAAAAGCTTTAATCACATGCCATAAATTAATGCCCAAGGAGGCACATCCTGGGCCCACCGATATGCCAGCCCCAAAAACGTCTTCTCTTCCGAGCCGCATCTCCGGCTGCACCGGAGCGTGCACCGCCCGCGTGCACCGAGCCGCTTGTGGTGTTTGAAGCTATGAGGTCCGGTCTCCCATGGTCTCCCCAAACGTTTGGTCGCTCTGAGGTGTGGTTCCAGACTTTCGACTGACCAACTGGCAGAGTTAGACTCAGACTGCCCTGATTCGTGTTCTCTGGTTGGGTCATGGACTGCATGGACTGCATGGCACTTGATCTGTCTCACCGAACAGGCCAGTCTGCGGGTGGCGTGTGAGCTCGCTCTGTACAGCCCCAAGGCTCGTCATGTTTCATAGTTGGAGGGCTATCGCTACTAGCTTGGAGGCCATTGCGCCATGAGTCACTGACTCAAAAGAAGATTGTGCGTCTTGTTTGCTTAAGATCTTTTTCTGGGGGTCCCTCAGTCCCGCAGATGGTGAAATCAGCACCTAGGGCCTGAGCTTTCCCCCCTTCTTCAGCCTTGTGAGAATGGCAGGGAGTCCTGGAGGGCAGGTAGTCCCCTGCAGAGTTCGAGTTTGAGACAGGTTCGTTCCTCCAAATCTGTGACTTCAGCTTCTTGACACTCACCAAGCTTGGCTCATGGGGTTCTATAAGTTGAACATCGATCAGTGACGACATTCAGAGAATAAGGCCTGAATCGGGATGCTTTCTCAAAAAGCGGAGCAAACCAAGATCCAAGTCGTGAACACCAGGTGTCTCGCCTTCCATCCCGAAACCCTTTCCCCAACGGTCACACCGCCGACCCCGGAACTCCGCACGGCTTTTTGGGCGGAACTCCGCACGGAGCTTCTCATCAAAGGCTTGTCGTCTTCACTCAGCCTGGGCGGGCGGCCGCTCAACGCCGACACTCGACGGCCATCGTTTTGGGGAGCTTCCACCAAGAGTCTTTTGGTGGATTTGGGGGTTGGAACCGGGAGAAGAAAAGGCTTCAACCTCTTCCCCCAATTTAGGGCATTAGTCCAGGACGGCCGGCGCCCCTCAAGGACCCCATTGGCACATGATTTGCACCCTTCTCCCCAAAAGGGCCCTCCAAGGTTCAACACTGTAACAGCTGCCCTTTGAGGGCAACAGCCGTTGGACCCGCCGCATGCCAAGCCCACGCATGTCACGGTGCGAGCTGGGAGCTCCCGGCCGCATCATTACCAGGCCGTAGGCCGTGATGCAAAGGCCTGGCGAAACCAACGGCGGGTGCCTAACTTGGATGGGCATGAAGTCAGGTGGATGGGGATCATGACCAATATACTCTTGAAATACATCTGCCTACTGCATAAATGCTTTGGAAACGATTCTGAACGTGAAGGGCCCATCGTTTTGCCATGGGGTCGGTGGCACTGTCGCTTAGGGAAGCCAGCACTTCCCCAAACAGAAGTGACCCAGTGATGGCCTTTTTGGACATCATGGCTATCGTTAAAATAGACCGCGTCGATTTGCTTCCACCATGTTCCACCTATTGGTGCTTCACTACGACCTGGGATACCTGGGTGGGGGGCATCACCTGACCGATGAATCAACCAACCGATTTCACCGGGGTCTTTTGGACCAACCACTGGCGCCAAAGGGGAGGCCAACGGCCGATCGGATCGCCTCTCACAGGCAGTGGATCCATAGGCTTGCCGAGTCTGTTTGGTCTACCAGCCGTTACTCCAGCAGTTCCACCAGCCGTTACGAGGAACTGGAGGTGTGGTTTCGGAGAGCCTTTTTGTCACATCCACTCACCCTTTCCAATTGGGGTCTCACAACAATTTCAAACCACCCAACTCCGTGGAATTGAATGGTGTTGGATTGAACGACCAGGCGGATTTGATGGAGTGGATGGTTTGGATTCGTTTTCCTCCGGTGTTCTTTCCCACGGCCATCTGAGCTGAGCTCAGCTGCTTCGAAACGGCCGGTCTCTGGCCTCCCCAAACGCGCGCCGGCCGAAAACGGCCAGAGACAGACGGGCCGTCTCTTCGCCTTGGGGAGTGAACTCGTGGACTCGCTGCAGGAGCATCGGTGCCAAAGCCTTCAGCAACCTCAGCGGTCGTGTCGTCCGGTCGTCGCGTCCCGGTCGAGCTTCGATGGAGGAACGGCGTCCGAAATCCGCCGAGGCAGGCGTCAGGCAGGAATGGGTTGGGAAGCGGTTCTGGTGGAGGGCGGAGGGATGGGTTTTGGGGGATGGAGAAGGGAAGAAAAAAAGGATCAGAAGGCGGAAAGCCATAGATTCCCAAAAAGTCCGGTCTGGCCAAGTTAAACCTCCAAGATTCCCTCTTGTTTGGCCAAACTTCCCGGATCCAGTTCTGCGTGAGGTCCGTAAGACCTGTAGCGATTGGGGAAGTTCGGTGAAGCTTTGGCGTCCAATGAGTGTCCAATTTATGGACTACTACTGTATGCCCCACAAACCATCACAAACCTACTGGATCTTGATTGGACACCCACCCGAACAAAACGTGGGCCATGGCCATGGCCCAGAAATCAAGCAAAAGAGGCTGCCTGGCGCTCTTTCTCCTCTGCCTGGCGCGACATCGTTGCATCTTCAGCCCGATGTCCACTCAGTTGAGAAGCTTCTCCAGGAACTCTGCATGTCTCGCGCGGTGCCAGTCCTTGCAAACCGTGATTCGCCTGCGACGGCAGGGATGAATAGACTCACATGAACTCAAGATTTAGACCGATATTGCAATTGCGAATAGCAATAGAAGAATTGCTGAAAATAAAAACATAAAAGAACATCATTGTGTATGTCATCTTCATCCCTCACAACAGCCAGTGAAAACCTTTCATCACTCTCTCTTTCCTCCGTCTTGCGCCCAAAAGGGACACGTACGTATACGTCCGTCATTCTGCCTGGGTACACGTACGTCCGCCCAACCGCAGGTCACCTCACTGGAGTGGCCAGGGTCATGTGCATGGTCCGTCGGCTGGTCCTTGGACGCGTTGAACGCAAGAACTGCTCAACACCGGCACAGTATAGTCAACGACTTGGTTTTGTTTGAGGAGTCGTCCCCTCCATGAATCGCCCAAAAAGGATGCTCTATACTTAACCAAACATCTAAGAGTCTGATCACTTCTCTAACATCGCCGAAATCCCCCCATTCAATGAACAATTCAGCGGACAAGCTGAGAGAAGAGGGTAAAAAGAAACTCCTTCAGCAGCGACCCAGTGGCTCGAAGTCTCGCAGTAGCGCAAAAGTGACGCACACCACCTCCAAAACATCATCTCATCTCATGGGCTCCTCGTTTTGTTTTGCTGGCTCACGGCGCATCCAAGTGCTACCGCGCCAGGTGCCAAGCCCAGCCCCGATGCCAGGTGCAACGCCCGGCGCGCGACGTCGGTGATCTGGAACTCGCCGGTCCTCAGGAACTAAGTAACTACACCCTGGTTTAATCTAACCAGGACCCTCTAAGGGGTGCCCTGTCTGGAAGCCTATAGGTAGTGTGGGGAAGTCCATTGGACACCCCTTGGAGGGTTTAATCTAAGAGCGACCTACTATGGCCTGAAAAACCTGCTGGCGATGGCCTCCAACATCCTCCAACCTAAGAGCGATGGCCTCCAATCCAAACTACACCCTGGAAGACCCACATGGAATCTGAGAACCACTGGGCCCAGTGGTTGTAGAGGAAAATGGTTTTCCAAAGGTCCATGCATCAGGTTCCATGTGGGTCTCTTCTTCCCGGGTGTAACTCACGTTTTTTCCTCGCGTGCTGATTTGGAACGAGGTCGAGGCCCTCGGCCAATCTTGGTGCGTTCTTGGTCGAACCGTCGTTTCGCGCAAACGAATGGACGGCGAAGACCAGTGTTTGTGTTCCTGACGGGTCCCAGGAGCATGCGAATTCGGTTCTGAAGCCAGTTCGATGATCGAACCATGGCTTTTAGCCCTCCTTGGGTGGGATCCATCAGAAAAGGAGACAATCCCTTGCACCCTGAGGATGAGTATGTCTTGCTCACCCAACGGGTCGCGCGCATCCCTCTCTGTCGCCGCCACAAAGGTTGGAGGGGATCAGGTTGGATCGATTGGATAGAAAACATGATTAGTGTCGATCAAAAAGCCGAATTGGGTGGTGCTGGTCTATTGATTGAGCTCCGTTTACATCAACTGAGGAAGCCTGTGGACCTCCCAGGTATAGGTGCTTTCTCAGCAGGAAGAAGCACAGAACAAGGAAAAAGGTGGCAGGAACAACCAGAAGAAGATATGCAACAGCTAAAAACACTGGAACCTCATTTCTGATGGGTGGAGGATGGTGGAGGAGGGAGGGTAACTCATAAATACCTTTTCCATGCAGTTTCATCAAAAACGGAATCATATATAGTCAGTGATCAGTGATCAGCAGAATCTTAGCACAACTGCTTGTAGCCAAGTGCGGGCACATTGAGCCGCCAAGGGGGGCTGGTTCAGCCCCCCCAGCAAAAAAATGCCAAAAACAACATCGAATATCAAAGAATTGTATCGATACAATCGAAGAGCATATCCCTATTTGTAGGCATCTCCCAATTTTCAGCCCAACTGGTGGATGCTTAGTGAAGGCTTTTACTGTAGGCTGCGAGGTCCCCCAGGTCCGTCCAAGCTGCAAGAACTCCTCCACCTCGAGGCTTGGGACGTCCTGGCGCCTCGTCCCAATGAAGAGCAGCGCCTCGCTCGCGGTATCGCGGTATCGAGGTGACTTAGTAGCTTCTTAGGTACTATAGGACCTTAAGGGCAAGAAGCTACGTTCCTAGCAAGCTAGCTGCTAAGCTATGATGCTACTTACGTTCGTAGCTTCTTGCTCCTACTAGTAGCTTCTTGCCCTTGTTCCTAGTCGCGATGCACTTTGACCGTCCATGTTCCGTCTCAGTTGGGATGGCAATTGGATCGGTGAACTTCGATGACTTCAAGTCAGGCTCATGAGCCCCAAAGGGTCTTGAAGGGTCTTGAACCATCAATTTGGGCCATTGAGGCTCATGATCAATCAGGTGAGCCGAACCCTTTCTTCTTGGGTCATCAAAGGGGTCCCAACTCCCTCAGCATGCCAACCGGACCATCAAGCAGGGCTGAAGCATCCCACACATCCATCGATGTTGACCTTACATCGTCCTCCAACAAATCACCAATCCCTATATAAATCCACTGCCGCCCTCCTATCGGTACGGCGATGTGTTCGACACTTTTTAATGCGCCAGGGCCGGGTCCAGCTGTATCGAACCTGAGAAGGTGGCAGTGGTTTCCTGGGGAAGGAACTACCCTAGAGTACACCCTACACGACTTATGGACCTCGACTTCCAGGCCATTCGTGGGACAAAAAGGGCCCACCGTTGGTTGAAGAGTCTTTGACCAAGCAACAATGGCACCCTTCCTACTCGAACAGATAATGGAAAGAAAACCAAGCCCGAGAGCTCAAGACGAGCTCCATGGCACTTCTTCAGGATTCCGCACCCTGAAGAAACCCAACCGGTCACCTTTCGAAGTCTCGGAAGCCTCAACCAGCGTGTTGAGCGAAAGGCGTGCTCAGATGCCCGTGCAGGTCGTCCCAAACCGTTGAAGATGACCGTTGAGGTCGGTCAACAGCCTTGACACTACAGGACCACAGTCCTCCTCATGGTGGTGTACCCAAGAGGAAGCTTCGATGTCCTAACATCTCATGAATCTAAGCCTTTCAAGCTGACCTCTCTCTCCATGTTCTGTTTTTGCCCCACCATTCGCCTTGGGACCCCCATGGGCTAACACACAGGGGAATAGTTACCAACCTTGGGGTGGTTTCAGGGGCCTGGGCATGGGCTCTTGATTTAATAATGGGCACCACCCCATTTAGATTGTACGACCTCTTACATACAAGGGTCTCTCCTGAGCCATCACACGCCATTGCAATCTTCCAATGGCCAGGTATGGAGCTGGATACGTCCCAGTCGGTCTAAAGAGAAGAAAAAACACCAAGGATTTAAACAGAACATTCGTCTTATATAATATATAATATATATATATAAAGGCTCAAGCTCTCAAGTCCAACCCCTTTTTGCTTCGCAAGACCT